TGGACTCCAGCATGCATTCAATGCCCGCGTTTTCGAAGACATCTAGAGGCGATCTTGGTGCTCTATCTGCCTTGTCTTCTTTCCCCTCTTATCTAATTGGTCAATCTCATCCATGAAGATATGACCCTTCCCTCGATTTGTGATTTACCTTGCTCTTTCCGGAAAGTGAATCCTTGAATTTGTTCCTCAACGGCTCATTTGTCTACAGTCCTGGAAATTCTTTACTTCTGCATGTTGTGTTATGGATGGATGTGATTGGATCCATGACGATACCCACCTTCGTTTGCGCTGTTGTCGCTGCTCTTCTAATGTCTCTTACGACTGTTATGGCCCTACTTACTCTGTGTAATGCAATGCAATCTCCGCAATTTTCTTTACTCTCTTTCTATCTGTCGTACTTAATATACCTAGAGCCAAATCAGCAACATCGAGCTCCGTGTCAAAACCCGACTCATCATTTGACTGTAGACGCGGAGAACGTCCACTGTTCACCCCAGTTAAATGACCCATGAGAGAAGGGCTGTAGGCTGAAACATTTTCAAACTACTAGTCAAACCTAATTGGGAAGCATAACATTCGCTCGAGGTGGTGATTCTTTTTTTTTCTTTTAGAGATTGTAGAAAGCTGCCATGCATGTGTATGTATGCTCTAGACATCCGCACCTTGCTATGTACGCCCTCCTCTAACTCCATCTGACAATATTGGCGAGGTATCCCTGACTTATGCAGCTTATCTTAAAAATCTCCGCCCCGGCTAAGATGTAAATATCTTTGTATCAGATTGGGCTTAAAACATACCGTGAAGACGCTAGTAGGTTAGTGGAAATTGCGGTGCCGATCCTGGGTATTTTATATTTAGCATTTTCCACGGCTTACTTTGAATGGCCGGAAAATTACCATAGTGATTTTTTGATATCCAGAAACTTGAAATGCAGCCAAATTCCGAGTAGAACCGAGAGACAAATTCTAATTTTGGCTGGGGGGTTAAGGCAGTGTGAGGGTTCCGAGTGAGAAACTAGCTGTAGAAGAAAGTAATAGAACCAGCGCTACGACCCTGAATCGAGAGAAGCTGAGATCAATTCGGAATTTACACTTCAGAAAACCCGACGGTCAAACAAGTCCCCTTTCGATGTAGGGAATGCATATTTATTCTGTTTTCCCACCCACCACGCAGCCTACTGTTTGCATTACCATATAGAGCTAACTAGCAGATACAGCTTCAGAATGACGTCTAGTATGCCAAAATTAGTAGCAAGGGTGACAGTAGATACTAGAGTATCTTTACTGCCCCCGGAACTCGTGGACATACAAACCAGAGTCTGCAAACAATGTCCAAAATGATCTCCTACTTCAAAATGCTGCCACAAACGACCATGCCGATCCTGCGTGTTTCCCTTCCGGGTACAGTAAGTATGCAAAAGTTTGAGCAACCATCGCCTCAAGTCCAGTCTATTATCCAGGTGCAAACACCTCGACCGATTTAGTGATTCACAATCAGCGACCACTGTCACCTGCTGTCCGTCGTGAGCCAAAAAAGGCGATTCTAGTTTTTCACTTGGGGTTGACGGGATTTTAGTAAATTCTCCTACATAATTACGGATGTCTCTTCCACCTCTGTAGATTTAAAAACCTCTCACTACGAGTTTGCATTTGCAATGGTATAATAAACAGATTCGGAAAAGAACTGTATACTCACAGATTCCATTGACTTAAAGCATCCTGCATTGGAATGCTTTCATGCGATGCAACATGATTCAAGTTTATATGCATTAGTCGGCGATCCAGAGATCAAACTGCATCAAAGCTGCTAATCTCGATTCCGTAGGCAGTTGCATGGCATCAAACTAGGGTTAGAGTTGAAAGAAACCCTAACACCATGTTACTTATGTTCTAGGACTTCACTGTGATTGTCAACAAAGGCCATCCCCATTAAATTCATTGCTAATTGGTCTAATGAGCAAATACAATGGATTTTGATAGATAGCAGATGGTAGGAACTGGAAATGATGGTGCAAAATCGCTGATGCAAAAAAAAAGAGAACACAAAGGGTGTGGTATATAACAAGTTGAATCGAGCCATGGATAATCAGCAGGGCTCTAGGGCATAAAAGTCATATCCTCTCTCATCGATCCTCACTCTCATACTCAGAGTGTTCACTTTCACCCCGCGAGTAGTCTCGCTCTGATGCTACCACGACGGAAGTATCTCGGTAAACCCGATAAATTAACCACACACTTCCACCAAAGACACCGTAGGTATGTGCTGTTATAGTAATTGGTCAAGCCCAGCTGGAGCTAGAGCGTCAACGGACTGTACAGGAATGCACTGATGCACAAAGACAGTGCTGGGAAGTCGGGCACTAATTCTACATACTCGCGCAATCTGTGTACGACATCCGACTGGAAGAATAGTGGGGGGTTGAATGTGTGCACCAGAGAACCGGTGTGTTCTGAGTTCAAGTTGAGTTTCAAATGGAAGGGAATTTAGAAACTTTCTATGAATTGTGAATGAGCATTTTGGCTGGATGGTGAGCTAAATAATAAGACTTTATAGGTACCAAGTAGTGGATGAGGCGTTTCTGCCAAGCTGATCTCTTGTGATGGCACTGCAAACTCGACTACTTGGTGTTGTGAGGGTGATGCTAGCTGCTGCAATGCTCCATCTGCAGTTACGACAGCTCAGAAGCTGGGGGAACACACTTCTACCTCGATCTCGCTTCTGATCTCAAGCTCTAACTTTACTTCTTTGATTTCAAGTCCCAAATTTACTTTAATGTCATCCCCATCCCATTTTCATCGTCTCAACTTTCAGTTGGTGTCATCGCCGGGATCACTGTCGGTGGCGTTCTTGGAGCCATTGCTTTCCTGGTTATTATCTGATTTTGTTCGATGAAAATAGAAATGAATGCAGAGAGAGAATAAAGCGCAAGCATTGGCGATAATTTTTCGTCCGGTTTTCGTTCTCGAGAATTCAAGGATCGCATTCAGACGGCGTTCGGAGCGTTGCACATGATAAGGCAACTGGCACCCTGAATGTCATATCTAAGCTAGCAAATGAGCCAGTTGGACGGGTAATAGATTAAAATAGTGAATAAAGAAGTACGATCTGTAGAAATAAGTATCGGTTGACTTTTTGTTTACCCTGTGTAGACATCAAATCAAAAGCGGCTAGGAACTATACCTGAAGTGGTAGAGCACCATACCTAATAAGGAAAGTAGAAGGCGGTGGGGCGTGGAGATATCGATCCTCCCCGCGGAGGCCAGCTCTCTCCTCAAGCGTGAATTGACCTTGAGATAGATTGCCAAAGCTCCTAAATCAGAGCTTCACACAAATGGCACCAAGATACAGCTCGTCAAACCGAGCCGGCGTCAAACCGTCAAATCAACCCATTACATCCCCTAACTTCACCGACCCGAATTTCGACCCCGCCGACTTCCTCAATGACTCTCTATCACCGCTGACTGTGGCATCATTACAGCCTAATGCCTCTCGGTCACCCGGATCTGTGCCTCTGACAGAGCTGTCCGCACAGGTCCAGTCCCTCCTCTCTCATATTAGCGCCCAAAATATCCGTCTCTCGAGTACATTATCCCAACTCACCGACGAAATCCTCCGAAGCGGTGGACGCCTAGCCTACGAAGTTGAAGTCCTACGAGGCGAGACAATCGGGCTATCTGAAACACTAACTGAAGTCCTACGCGATGACATAACAAAGTTCGTCCCAGAGCCCTCACCAGAAAACGGGCGCAAGACCGAACAAGCAGAAGAGGATGTGCCAGCGAACGAAGACGAGTCGGCAGCGAGCCCAGACGACAAGAAACAACCCGTTATCCCTACAGACCCTGAATTTATAACAAATCTCCGCACACTGAACCAAGTGCGAGCGCGCCTGGAAGACGTTGTACAGACCTTCGGTGACGCAATGAGCTGGCCGCTGCCTCCCTCCGAGATATCATTCTCCTCATCCTTCATCTCGGTCTCAGGACCAGACCTCGGACCCGAAGGCCAAGACCGCGAAGAAAAGGGCCAAGAAATGATGAAGAAGCTACGCACGGAAGTGACCGAACTACTCGACAGCGAGGGCGGAGGATACGCCGGACTGACCGCTGCCAGCCGCCGCGTTGAAGCTTTGCGGACGCTGGTGACTGTGTGGAATGCATCGGCCGAGGAAAAAGCCCGGAATCGGTTTGTGGATAGTCTGGCGAACATCGTCGAGGATCGACGACGCACATTGGACCAGCAGGCGGATCAGAATCGGCGAGGGCAGTCTAAGTCCAGGTCTGAGGCTCGGTGGGATAGTGACAGTGGGGCACCGGCCGGCGGACTGTTCCGAAATTTGCAGCGTTTGAGGGAGGAGATTTACTTGGAGTGAGACAATGGGATATGCATGGTTCTGGGACGTCTGTTGAGCTGGTTCTCTGCATAAAGACTTGGACCTAGCTGTATAATGTACATCCTTTGCAACCCATCTCGCATCTGCAAATACTAATTGAGTAGTTTTCCAAATTTCCAACTTTGGGTGACTTTGGTAGTGCTTGCGTAGGTGTGATGTCTGTTTAAGTGTAAGAACAAAGGGCTTATAGTCTACCCACGGCCTTTACAAATGTAGTAGATGTCAAGGTGGAAAAATGTATGTTTCTCAAGTGACCGTTGTTTTAGTTTGAGAAATGTGCTCCTCGTATTGATATTAAAGAGAAATCTAGATGCAAGATCGCATACTCTGATAGGCCCTAAATGGTTAGAGCTATGATCTATATTTCAATTGTTAATTAAACAGCTGAGACATGCATACAATGTTGTGAAGCTCAGATGTAGTCCAAGGTCCACGAGGTGACGGGGTGACGGGGGTGGCACCGGAAACGATGCGCCGATCGCAGCCTCTCTCTCTCTCCACCTCCAGGGTGAGAGCATCTTTCTCGTTTGGTTCCTTTTGGTTCCTAACATCTTACAATGTTCAATATTGCATTATCCAGTATCTGATTCGACATTATATTCGCATAATGGCGTTGGAGGACGCGCCACTACACTTTCAAGATTCCAAGTCGACTCCGATGCGGTGGCACGTCTTCAACCGCCGGGCACGGACAAACCGGGTTAAGACAATCGGCTTGTCAGTGCTTGTATTGTTCTGCTTCTTTCTTGTGCTCAAATCTTCTTCAACGGTAAGGATCGCCTCCGGCTCCACAATGCAGTGACTGCCAGGCGTGAGATATAGCAGCTGACAAACTGCCCAGCGAGTCGAGCCGGACTTTTGGGCCAAGTTTCCCTCTCGCCATCCTTTCCTTCAGCACCCGGAGGACGCTCAGGTCTTCCTACCCCCACGAACCGATATCAATGCCAATGATACCCTCCCCCACAATCTGGACAAGCCCAACCCGCGCCTACATGTCCTAGTCCCAGCCTCACAGGGCTCGCGCGGAGTTTGCCGAACGCTCACTTCGGCCATGATCCTTGGATACCCACCGCCGACATTAATCGGCTACGGGCATGACTCTCCCGGAGCGACCGAGGCCGAGCACATGGTGGACCGGATCACAAGGGCGCGCAACTATCTCCGAGACAGTAAAATTGTGCATGACCGCGACTTTGTGGTTATGGTGGATGGTGCAGATAGCTTCTTCCAATTGCCACCGAAGATCCTAGTGGAGCGCTTCCAGGCTATGATAAGGGCGAATAACCGAAAGCTGCGGGACAAGTTTGGGTTCGCAGAAGTGGAGGGCCAAAAGGCCGGGGCTCCGTCTGAGAAGGTACAGAAATACACCCAGCGCGTTCTCTTCGGTGCAAGCAAGATGTGCTTTTCCGGGTTGCGGGACGACCCCGGTTGTGTATCTGTCCCGGAATCAACTCTACCTCCGGATGTATATGGCTGGAAAACTGATGTCTACCCGGATGGATCTCTGAACCGACCCCGGTGGTTAAACCCGGGAGCGGTTATTGGCCAGGCTGCGGATCTGCGTCTGATCTACGATGAAGTTTTGCGGCTAGTTGAGTTGCGCTCGAACAAGTCTGGAGATTACCAGGCCCTGACACAGATGTACGGACGGCAAGAAGTGATCAGAGAACTCGAGCGGCGACGAACAGCCAACGACCTCAAAGAGTTGCTCTACCGGATGGTGGGTATCTCAGATGCAACAAACATCACCGGAATCACCCTCCGGCTGGAGACAGGTCACCGCTACGAGTACGGCATTGGTGTCGACTTCGAGTCCCAACTCTTCTTCAACCAGATCAAGTCCAGCAAGGATGTCGAGTGGGTCAAGTTCAGCAACGTTACGAAGATGTCCGCGTTGCAGATGCAACACGGCGTCCCGCGCGAACACCGTCTCCTCCTCCCACAGGACATTGCAGCACTCCCCAACCCATTTATTCAGTCCCGCTTCGCAAAAGAATCAACCCAGAGACCAGTATGGAATGCCACATTGGACAAACTCCCGAACCCGCGCGAGCGCACCTGGCACAACATTTCGTTAATGACGAATGTCCACTCCGCCTCGGTGCCAGTAATCGCCCATCTCAATGGTGACCTCAAGCTCCGTAACACCTGGTGGGAGAATATGTGGTTTTTCCCATGGGGACGCGCCCTATTGCGGAAATATGTCCGCGACTCGCACGGGTTCGATGCCGCGCAGTCGTCACTGCTGGGCGGGCAGGACTGGTTGGAAGTGCGTGGAGGTCGAGGTGGGATCTGGACCGATGACCACAACTGGATCACCTTCGCTGAGGTCTGCAATGGGCAAGAAAGAGATCTCTTTGACGATGACCTGGGGCCATGGGCTAAGGAAGTTGATGATCCAGACGATCCGGTTTACAACCAGTATGGAAGTCTCATTTCTGGGAAGGAAGAGAAAGATAAATTTGAGAAATTCGAGCAATTTTTCTAAAGCTGGTCTTTGAATTGTCGTTCTCCCCCTATCGCTCACTATATCTTTCTCAATGGATCGACGGCTGCCGGGTTGTTGAGACTTCATGTCCAGCTCGCCGTCACACCAAACCACCTCTGCGCTTAATCTCCACGTCGAATTCCAGGCCTACCAAGTTCTGGAACCAATCCAAGTTGTGGAGTTTAGATGGTTTAATTTTTCTTTTTGCATGACTGGCCTGATTGGATCGACCACTACTCTGATTGTGTGGCTGGATTCACAGAAGAATTCATGTTTATTCTTTATGTCGAATTTGAAGATTCTTTCGACTACTGTGAAGAATAGCTGTACATATTCGGGACTGGATCTGTATGACTGCAGCGAAACAGTCTATTGTATGATACCATCATAGATGGAACCCTGGAAGATTGGCTCTTTAGTGAGTTTGGCGTATATCGAAATCCAACAGAGTGCACAAGTTGGAAGAAATCTTGTTGCACTTGACATTTCCCTTTTAGGTTATACAAGAGTTGAGTCATGGTTTGCGGCCATGTCCCGTCTTTTTGTTGGCCTTGTTTAGATACTTTCCCCGTTGTAGGTGTTATGGCTAGCGTAGACGGTAAAAATTGGTCACTTTAGGTTTTTTTGCACGGTGAAGCCTCGTCATTGTAGCCCCGAAGGAGGCGTTGTGATTGCCTCGAAGAAGTTGAGAGAGTGACCCCGGATTATGACGTCATGTGTGGATTTAAAGATCGAGTCTCATGTAGAGGAGATGGTCCATTTTGAAATGGTCCATTAATGCATTTCTACCGATTGTACTTGACTTCAGTTTGAGATTCGCTGATTAGCTTCTAAATCATACACATGCAGCTCAGATCCCACTCCAAGCTAAGATGAGGTGGCCCGAGCACCAGCCAGCTCGCTGATAGGGGTCGCACCCGGGTAGAAAGAAGTCGGAATCACAGGAATAGGAATCGGTAACGCGGTACCAAACGCCATCGCCAAGTCAGAAGCCATGGTAGCGGCAGAGTATCCAGAAGGAACAGCCTTGACAGTCTGGGTAGTCGTGTACGGAGCATGCTCATCACTCTCCTTCAGACACGCGCCGGAGCCAAATGCACTCTCGCAGCTGTGCCACTGGTAAGAGCCGGACTCCGTCCACATGGCGAAATCCTCGATGGTGATATCTGTGCAGGGCGCGCCGTCCGCACACTTCACTCTGATGGGTCCGCGCTGGGCACCGTTTGCTTCGGTTCCTTTCCAGTTTTTGATTGTGACATTGTTGAGGTGGACGCCGTTGCCGGGTACCTTGCCCATGCTTGACCAGGCGCTGTCGATGTCGAGGGAGTAGGCGTTGCCGTGGCCTGGATGGTTAGTGGATGTCATTGGGAGACAGGGGGTGAGTAGGGTGCATACCGATGAAGTTCTCGAGGACGAGGTTCTCAACGTTACCGCTGCCTCCGTTGCTCTTGATCATGTACATCTGGTTCGATTTCCAGGTGTAGATGTTGCGGTAGGTGATGTCGCTGATGTCGACGCCGGAACCGAGTGATCCCATGGCACAACCACCACTCCAGTTGCAGTAGATGTTTTCGACGAGGATGTTCTTGGCGGGACTCTGTCTTGTTATTAGCTATGGTCTGTCCATGGGGGGTTCTTCAAAGCCATACCTTGACCGTGACACACTCATCCTTGTTGGTGACCTCGACCTATTAAGGGGTGTTAGTTAATTCCACCACGACCGAACCCAATACTGACATCATGAATCCAAATATTAGTCGACCAAACATCAATTCCATCCAAGCCACCCTTGTTACCACCACGAATAGCAAGGTTATAAACCTCACCATTCTCACAAGTCTCCATGCAGAAATGGAAAACAGGCGCATCAACAAGAGCAATGTCATGAACCGAAAAGTCGGTCACCTCATATAGTCTCAGAATCCGTGCTCCACCGCTCGATCCTTCCTTATGGTACTCGTATCCATACCCTTGCACAGCACCCCGAGAGGTAGAACTGAACATTTCAAAGTCTGTGGTATGCTCGACCATGATCATGTTTCCTCCAGCGGTACCAGTCCGATAGAGGATACCATCCAGCTGGATAGCACAACTATTTCCACCTGACAGAGTCACCCAGGACTTGAAGGCGTAGTCGCCAGGTGGGATATAGACCACACCGCCGTTCTTGCAATCTGCCCAGGCGGAGGTGATGGCCACGCCGACATCGGTCGATTTGTCTGCCACAGCGCCGTAGTCCAGTACATTGCAAATTTTGTGGGCGGATTTAGTAGCGACGGTGGTGGTTGGGCCAACTGGACCGCTGAGGTAGGCGTTTGCGAGCAATGGCGCCAGGCCGATTGCGATCGCTGAAGAAAAGAACATATTGAAATGACTAAATTATAAGATGAAGGTATGAAAACGAAGTGAAAAGAAGAAACCCAGACCGGATTCTACCTCTATATATGTGTGTATAACCCCTGGGTATACCAACATCCCAGCCAGCCTTATGGTATGGCTGAAACCCTAGCAACGCCGCCATTGGATCGATGCAAAGTGAGGATTTATGGGGCCCTATCATTAAATAGCCATAGTAAAAAGCTTGGGTGGATGGTTTGAAGTGAATATTGAGCGAGAAGGGCACGTTATGGTCCTAACCCTTTTTTTTCCCCCAAAAATTACAGACCCTCCTAGCGGTCACCTATATTAAGGGATCCTCCACATGACAATATATCTTTCACTAGTTAGGCAGACCAAATAACGTGTATAAATATAAAATGCTTTCTCTTTCTCAACAATCCTGTCCTAGGAGATTTTACTTTTTTGGTATAGTACTCATAATCTAAAAACTATCCCAACACCTTAATAAAATTTCAAGGGGAAAGTGAAAGTTTTAAAATCGAACTATAAGAGGGCTCCCTAAAAAGTAGGCTAAAACTCGAAATGTCGGAGTCTAATGTGGAGTAGATAAGCTTGTTCTGTTTAGTAGGTTGTAATAGGGCGGTAAAGAAAACTTCAGTTCTCAACTTCAGTTCTCAACTTCTGTTTTCTATCTTTCTGGAACCGTCGGAGTTGACTTTATGAACTGTGGATTTGCACGCAGTTCCCACGATATCGTGCTACTTACAACATATCAACCAGCTAATAAGTTTATACCTTCTTAATATAAGCTAATCTATCGTTTAAATTGATTGAAGCCACAGTAGGTGGAGTGGTTAATAGTAAAAAGAGAAAGCTGTGGAATGTCAAACAAAAAGTGTCATGGGTGATCCCTTTCAGATAAGTGGCGAATTCCTCTCAAGGAGGGTGACTTTTTTGGGGGGAAAATATTGTGAGGGCTGATTAGAGCGGCGATGGACCTGAAACATGTTTTCGGGATCAAATGTTGGAGCTAAAGGTCATTCTCAAACACTCTACGGAGTATTTCAGCTTTCCGTTGAGCACGGAATTTCCACCGCTTAAAATTCCCTACAATAAGCAGCCCCTGATTCTGAAAAGTCTGTTCTGAGGAATTTCAAGTACTTTGTCTAGGCGGTATATAGTTATGTCGCAGGATCTATGCAGCATGTAGCATGTGTTATTTCACGGAATCTTGAAACGGCCAGACCTTTTCCGATATCGCTGTCTTGTTCATTTGCCGACTCCCAAAACAGGAAGTTCAGCTTTTTCACAGTAAGTCTTCTTATAATTTCGTTGGAATCATGAGGAGAGACTGCCCTATGTCAGCCTATCTACACGCCTATCTCCTTCAGGATTCATGGTCTTCCTTTCGACGTCCTTTGCCCATTTGAAATACTCGGTCTTGAACGGTGCTATATCTTGCTCGGAGTGCCTCGAAGGGTATACAAACTCGCAGAAAACGGTAGATTTAATCTCCAAAAATAGGGTTGATAAAAGTAGCGTGACCAGTGCATTAAGAATGTGAATTCATTGCCACGCTCAGAGGCATGACCTGGGAGAACATCCCGAGGAAGTCCCTAATTGCTCCTGCAATCAAACATCCTGACTATTCTTTAAACCTCTTTTTAAACCCTTCCCCCTTGCGTCTTATTTCTCGTACACATCTGACTAGTCTTTACAATCCTGACATATATTTCTCTCCATTTTGCCCTTCCCTGTAATCGTGATTATCGAGCACACTGGGGTTGTCATCTTCATCCACTCCGACCAGCTGCTTCCAGATATGTTCTTCGGTGATATCCGCATGTAAGCTTCGTACTTGTGGTTCTACGTCATTGTATAGAGACTCAATGGTTCCCAGTATTGAACCGGGCAATGTCTCTCTGTAATGGAATAGACACAACAGCTCGGGTGCCGCTCTTGTGCACCTCTCTCTCCTAGGTCAGCCCCAAAGACCAGGAACGGAACAAGTCAATTTCAACTTTTTTGGTGTCTGGATCAAGTATTCTGATACTTCCGGGGAGAACGGGTTTAATCAATGCATCTAACTTTGGTCCCCCATACTCAATCAAGGAGAGGTGATGGCAAATGAGGAACATAGGACAGATCGGGGTGCCTTGCCAATCTAGTCTTATCTACCTAGAATGAGAAATTCCGCTCTTTTTCCAACCCAGGCGGATAAAGCTAGCTGAATATACTGTGCAATGTATAGAGAGAGAACGTTAAGAGCTGTCCGAGTAATTTCCGGGGGTTGATACCTTGTTTTTAACCGTATAAAACAACACAGTAATTCGACATAATCCAGTAAGAGTAGTGGCCTGATATACCCATGGGATTACACTGCAGGCTTATACCCAGTCACAGCGGTAAGGGTATCCCTCCCAGAGAGGTACTTCTTCCCTCTTCCCTCTTATTTACGTTTGTCATCCTTCCAACATCGAAAAAAGGAACTTCAATGACTGTGCAAAGCAACCGTCCGATCAGATCTTTCAGGTGTGCATACAGAACCTGCTTGGAAATTCCCCAGAGACCTTGGCTGGCAAACGTGCTTCCCAACATTGCCCGGGTAGCACATCTGTTACGGCCTCGCGGCTTAAGAATGGCACCTTCAATATCTGTTA